GCTATGTTTCGGTAGTGAACATTTTTGGTAGAGGAAGAACATTCCAATACAGTCTGAAAATACGATATAAAAATGTACGGTTATTTTACTAGATATGTGTAATCTAGATATGGTACAAAATATATATGGACAAAGTTTTGGGAAAAAAACATACAACATTTAAAAACCTTTCCAACCTGACTTTGGTCCAAACCAGCCAAGCAAACATTTACTTGGTTAACTTTCTTTTATTATAGCTTTTATTGTTGTTTATAACATCTGTTTACATTAATAAAGCTGAGAGTGACCATTTCCTCTGCTGGATTGAGCTGGGAATATCTATTACTCTGTGAAAGTATGCCTTGATTTTAACACTCTTTTAATACTATGTTGAATTTATGTTTGAGGCTGGCAACTAATATGTTGTGTTTTCTTTTTTAAAGGACCAGGCCAGCCACTCTTCTTTACTGTTTTTCTGTAAAGTGTTTTCTTGTGGGCAGTATCATAAATGTAGGTCACCCTCCTCTCCCTCTCGGGCCAGAGGTGGAACCATGTCTACTTTCAGACCTGCAGCAGAGGAGGGTAAACTAATGTAGTAATGTAACTTATACTTGCCCTTTTATTCATTGACAGCTGCTGAACATTGACATTTTTAACATTTATATTTGTGAAATAAAGTTGCATCATTTTGGTTATTCATGCCTCTCTACTTGTTAATGTACTTGTTAAGGAAGGCCTTAAAATAGGTTAAAAGCAACACATTTAGATTAAGGGTCCTCGGGTTCCTCCTGCCTCTTAGGAGCTGGCGTTGCCAGCTTCAACGGTAACTTCAGCCACGGATACCGCACATTCACTTTGAAGTGGTGGCACCACCCTGCAGTAGCGTGGCTGCTTGCATTTTCAACGGTGAACTGTGCCAACACATCCTCACACCCAGGTCGGCCTATGTTGTGTCCTTTGTTGTGTCCTGTCTGTTCACACTACAACATACGTTTAGGGAGCTATGTAGAAGCCTATGGACATCCCAGAAAGTTGAAAATGTACGCTAAGGGCAAATCCCGGAAAGTTGAAAATGTACGCTAAGGGCAAATCCCGGAAAGTTGAAAATGTACGCTAAGGGCGGCCCCTTGCGTTGTAAAAAGCCGACACAGGGGATTGACATAACGTCAACATAGGCCGACCTGGGTGTGAGGATGTGTTGACTGTGCACACAAATACACTGAAAATGTGAGGAATCAGTGTGTCGCTGCTCCCTGTGAGAATAAGTGCTGGAAAATTAGTTTATACAATTTAAAATGGAACAACCTGGGTCTAAAAAAAAAAGTGTCTACCAAAGCCATACTACTTCTCTCGGATCAGGACATGCATAGATTTGTATTATTTAACAGGACGTCCTGAATGCATCTGCTGTATGTGTTGGCTCCAGATGCTACCACTTGTTATAATAAACACTGCTCCTTTTTGTATATTGTCTTCTGGAAGTAAATCATTGAAGTTCTTTTTTTACTTGTTGTAATTTTCACAGAGTATTTTGATGGAAGTGATAGTGTATGTAACATTGATAAAATACAAGTATAGTTTCAATAATATGACACCAAAATGATAAACACGTTTTTTTTTAATTAAAGGCAAAGCTTAATCTAATTTTAAAAGAAAAATACTTTTCTCACTTTCATTTGTTCTAGTTATTCTAGTAGTGTCTTTTTTTTATTTATTTTTTACTTTAATCTATTTCAATTTGTTATGTAAATCTTGGTGTACTTACAACAAGTTTAATGAAAAAAATCAAAAAGTGAATCTCCCATTTTGTTTTGAATAGGTGGAAATGGCCAATTTTCCGGCCTAAAATATATTAAACAAGACAATGATTTGTTGTTGTTCTGATAGCCACTGCAACATTATGCAATCAATAATGGAGTCACAATTAGTTTAGTTTTAGATTGCTTGGGCTACGGGGCTTAACAGGCCTTTTTTCACGAAACTGTGTCTCAGGGCTTCTTAAAATGTAATAAACTATGAATGTATCATACTCACTTAACGGGAAGAAACTAAGCTAACTGACGATATGAACCATTTTTACCGAAACAAAACAGAAGTCTCACAAGAAGCGTCTAAATGAGCCCTGAGCGAAAAAATGCTAACGTACTTAGCAAAGAACTCTAGGTATAAATCGATCAATATACTTATCGGATCTGCACAAACAAGCTTTGCTAGCAAGCTGAGATTCCACAGATTCCATACATATAAGTATCATCACTGAGTGATCAGAACTCGCGACAGGGGAAGCAAAACCTACCTACGCGTCACCCTCACTCCTTATTTGGTAACGTGTGTGTGCAACTTCCCCTAGGTTCTAGCGGCTCTAGCGGCTAAAAAAATGTCATTCATCAAAATCGACCAAGGGGAGCCACCCCAGAAGTGGGTTTTTTTGTGCTAAACCTCTCTAAAAAGATCAAACTTCACTTGTTTTGCATCAATCTTGATACTTATTATATGTTATAGTTTGGATTCCTAAATCTTTTAGTCTACTGTCCCATCATTCAAGGTTGGTTTTCACTATAAGTAATGGTTTTTTTGGACGGACACTATAATTTACATTTTTTGACTATGTTCAGTCTGAATTTCATTTAAAATAAAAAAAATCTATATTGATTCTTCTACATCCAACTCACAGGTTTATCATTGCTTTGAGAACAAATATAATGTACCCCTTTTAGAAGTGAAGTTATGGTCATTTGTTCTGGGAATTTCCTTTTCGAGCCTGAGACCTTCACTGAAAGATTGGGAACCACTGCCTTTAAACACAAGTAATTGTGTATCATATAATGGTGATAGTAAGACTTGGTTGAAAATAAAGGGTAAAGTCCAAAAACATACAACCATGAGACGGAGCAGCAGCCGATGTTCATTATTCCCATGCAGGAATCCTCTCATGTGGGTTTCTGTGTGTTCCCTGTACCACTGCAGCCTTCTGCTTCCTCTCTTCCAAATTCAAGATAAATGTGCTTCAGCGTCCTCTCTTTGACTTCCAGTTTTACTGCAAACACTTCATCATCTCCTCTCAAACTTTTTTTTTCTCAGTAAATTTGCACCACCCTGCTTTAAAGTTACTCCTCTTTAATGTGTTGTATCCCATGTGTTGACCTTCAGAGACGTTCTTTTAAAAGCTTGGGGGGGGGAAATAGATAAAAACAGTTTATTTAGAAAATCACTTCTTGACGTCCAATCAGTCTTTGGAACAGGAAACAGAATAAATTCAAATGGAAATGAGTGTTTTCGATGAAAACGGTCTGCCCTCAAATCTATACACGTCAATACTTCTGTTTCTCTTTTTGTGATGATCAAGCAAAGACCAGCCTCAAGCTTTCTTTTTGAGAAATAATTACCTCAACTTCTTCATTTAGTACCTCTGAAATATGCTTTCATCTTGCACCTGCTGTATCTCTCTCCTTGTCCTTTGCAAGTCAATCATTTTTCACGAGTAACTTATTAATGTCAGTTACAGATTTGTAAAGTGCTGTTAGAGGCTTTTGAAGCATCCACACTGAGGAGGTGGAGGCTGGAGGAGACTGCAGTGCTGGACCTTGGCTCTCTGTTTGTTTGCTCGGCTGCTCGCTCCTCCTTCCATCCAGGGGAATTTCTCCCCCCCCCCTTTTTAAACATAAATCAGGGATTATTTTGAACTAAAATAGATGGATGGAATCAATCAACCATGGTTTTACTTTTCTCTTCTTCTACACAACCCCCCTTTCACCTCCACCCTCACACCCTTTTCCCTCCCGTCTTTCTCCTTTCTCCTTTCTCCCCTCTCCTTCTCTCTGTGTCTCCCCCACCCCCCTCTCGGGGCTGCAGACTGAGGAGATGCATAAATTCAGATGCATTAGTATTCCAGTCAGGCTCTCCAATTCAAGGCAAGGCCTAGCGCCCTTCCACCTCTCCGCTCTCCCCTCCTTCACTCTCCCCTCTGCAGCTCTATTTTTGAATCATTTAAGCAGAGCTGCATCTAGCTATACTTATTTCCAAACCATCCCTAAATTATTTTTAAGGCATTATGATTATTTTTTGGGAATATAGTTCTATTTTGCCCTTGCATGCCCAATTATACGCAGCTGTAGTCTTTGAAATGAGATTCATCTGCTTCTGATTGTGTGTGTCTGAGTGTATGTCTGAATGTGTGTGTGTGTGTGTGTGTGTGTGTGTGTGTGTGCGTGCGTGCGTGCGTGCGTGCGTGCGTGTGTGTGTGTGTGTGTGTGTGTCATTGTGTTTTGCTGTCAGGCCCGGCGGCCCAGGCGATAAATCACGCATGTCTGATTGAGGAGGGCAGAGGGCCCGGACAATAACATTTCAGTGGAAGTGCTGAAGAACGGCTCAGTTTGATGCGTCGAGCCTGCAGACCTGCAGCCAGCTACCTGTTGAACCTCTGGATATTTTACAGCTGTTATTGACACCAGGAACTTGGAGAAAAGTTGCCCTTTGACATGACCTTGAAGCTGAGTGAAGGTTACTCGGCTTCAGTATATTGCATGCATACATAAATGGAGCATAATAATGCCTTTAGTGTCATTATAATAGGTCACAAATAACATGAACGCACTTTCACATTTTATAAAAATGTAATTGGGATTTTGAATCGAGAAATATATATAGTTTTTGTTGAAATATTGCTGCCCAATATTTGAATAATAATTAGAATATTAGAATAAAAATGAAGATCAAAACAATATTTAAAATATTATATTATAATAGAAATGAATATCAAAACCATCATTACAATGTAATATTACAATCCAAATCCAAATAATTAACATATATTATTATAAAAACGATCAAAACAATAATTAAAATATAAAAATGCAGATCAAAACAATCATTAAAATAAAGATGAAGATCAAAATAGAAATAAGATAATAATATTGTAATAAAAGTATCGTAATAATAATTTTGTATGATTTTACGTCTACTTCTAAATCTTCATTCAAAAGTTGCACTCTGTTTTAGACAGTGAACAGTTGTAGCAAGAAATTGTTTATTACAACATACATAGTTTATTTCAAAACATAATACAAGCTTTATACTGAAAATAAATAATTACTTGAGCTGTCATCAAAATTTGGAATAAAACCGCCGGAACAGTTCAAATCTTACTGAAAATAGTGTGTGTTTTTACATTGCTAATTAAGTGCATGAATAACTAAGAGCATTTTTGTTTAAATTAATGACTTCAAAAGGGTAATATATAAAACTGTACAATATTCGGAAAAATACTTAAGAAATAAACCAATAACAGGAGTATTTAAGATTATAAAATGTTGATACTGACGTACAATAAAATGATAGGCAGGTGTATAGCGTCGTCAACCCCTCTTTCTATTCTCGGCTCTGGTTCAGAGTCCACACAGTTTATATGGTCGAAGATGATTGAAATCAAATGCATGAAATTATAAATAGCTGTAGCTGTGTGTGTGGCTTCATAAGCTACAGGCCATTAGGGAGGAATTTAATAAAACAAAACCTCCAAGTGCTATTATGTTGGTAGCTCTACAACTGAAATGAGGGCCAATATTTGCATATGCAAAAAATAATTACAGATCTGCTACGAGTATGTTACAAAATAATGAGTGTAAATATGAGAAATAAAGCAGTGTATAAGCCCGAGGGAAGCATGAGGTGGACAGTAAAAAAAACGGTCTCTGGTGCTGCAAGAAATCAATTAAGAAAAGATTATTTGCTTCACTCCGCTGATCAAACAACACAAATAAGAAGCCCGAAAAAATAAAAATAAAAAGTCCCATCACATCATTATTACCGAGCTGATAAGATGTGGTGACACAAACCAAAGGCGCTGGCAGGTTATTATAGGCACATTTTGTGTTTATATCCGTGATGTAGAAAATAATTTGGCGGGCTCCAAAAGGTGATCTGAAATGTGACGTTTTGATAAAATAATGCCCCCTGTGACGGTTATAAAATGAAGGCTGAACAGGTATCTCTGTTATTGTTATTGTGTTTCAGTGCTGGAGTCTGTACCGGGACGGGGCGCGAGGGCTTGGAGGTGCCCTAGCGCTCCGGAGAGTCTGTACCGGGGGGGGATTCCTCCCGGTGCTTCGGTCAGAGATCGTGGCACGACGAGGCGTCTCCCGCGCTCCCGCCGTGAGAATAAGGTCCCTCGTGCTGCAGCTCTCCCGGCGGCGTCATGCGCTTCTCTTTCTGCCTCCGGTTGCAGAACCACACGCGCACCACCTCCTTCTCCAGCTGCAGCGAGTCCGCGAGCGACGTGATCTCCGGCGCGGCGGGTTTGGGACACTTGAGGAAGTGCGTCTCCAGAATCCCCTTCACGCTCACCTCGATGGAGGTCCTCTTCTTCCTCTTCCTCCCCTGAGCTGCTATCTTGTCTATACTGCTCGCGCTGCCCGTGGTCGAGTCCGCCTCCTCTAGCCACTTGTTCAGCAGCGGCTTGAGTTTGCACATGTTTTTAAAGCTCAGCTGCAGAGCCTCGAACCTGCAGATGGTGGTTTGGGAAAACACGTTCCCGTAGAGTGTGCCCAGGGCCAGCCCCACGTCCGCCTGCGTGAAGCCCAGCTTGATCCTCCGCTGCTTGAACTGCTTGGCAAAGAGCTCCAGCTCGTCCGACGTCGGCGTCTCCTCGTCGGAGTGGTCGTGGCAGTGGTGCCCGCCGAGGTCGCTGTGCTCCGGGCTGAGCGTGTCCCTGAGGCCCGAGTGCATGCCCTGGCCCTGCTGGTTGGGTGGAGGCGTGAGGCCACCGTGGTCCAGCATGCCATTGACAGTGAAGCCCGTCTGGGAGTAGATGTTGATCTGCTGAGCGCTGGTGATGGAGGAGTTGTGGGACACCTGAGTCCCCCACGCTCCCGGGTGGTTGCCATGGTTGTTGTGATGCGGGGAGTGATGCGCAACGTGCGGGGAGCGGTGATGGATGATGCCGAGCTGCAGGTCCTCCCGGCCCGGCTTCACGTCCTGCTGCTCCATGGAGGCCGACCATGGGCTGCCCTCCGACAGGCTGCTCGCCCACTGGTGCGCGAGGGGGTGCCCGTTGCTCTGGAGGCTCTGCAGGTAGTCACTCTGGAGGAGCTTCTGGTGCCCTCTGTACGGGCTTGCAGGCTGCATGGCCTGGCTGTCCGGGTGGATCATGGGGCTGGAGCTGAGCAGGGTGTAGGGGCTGGAGGCAGCTGTGGCCATGCTGGCTGCTGAACCCCACTAGTGCTACTGAAGGAAGGGAGCACCTCAGCTTCTGACATCTCCCTCTCTGTGGAGTCTCGGCAGCAGCATGGCATTGACTGACATTCCGCCCCGCCACTCACAGGGCGACCGAGGCGCAGTGACGACGCGTCTCCACCAATGACAGCGTAGATACCCGAACCTCCGCCTCTGTTAGCGCAGAGCTGCGGGGAGGAAAGGGTTACAGGGCTTTCGAACCGGAAGTGAGTCGGGATGCTGGTCCAGTGGGTCTGACTGTGGAATGATGTGCGCGTGGAGCGCAGTTCCTGTTTATTAATTAAAGTTTTCCAACTGATTTACGCACGAGTTTATTGCTGCTCCTGTCACCCTTGAGCGCGTGCGAAGGAGGAGATTAAAACGCAATGGCATTTGTTAGACGTGCCAACACTTAATTGTGTAGGTTACAATCAAACCAAGAGCAGTTATAACTGCTAATTATTAACTTTTACAAAATACATCCTGAGGTGTTTATAGAATGAACCTCTCGAGATGTTACGCACAGGACATGTATGTTCCATACTCATTTTGGCCAGACTAAAATCATGCATGTCCTGGGCTTTTAATTCGATTTAGTATTTAAAATAAGATTTCCATAAGATATCAAAAAGTACTATACTCTGACAGGTCCAACTCACAATTACGTGCTATTACATACTGTGCATTTTTACAACCTAAAGTTAATTAAATCAGCATTTTCTTATATAGATAAATGTGTCCTCACTCACATCATGACTTATATTCTTTTAAGAATCTCATCAGGTCCTTTCACAGCTATAAAATATCTATCTGCACATCTGAGAACTAACCTAGCTGCGTAATTATATTTGCCATTAGAGGACATGCTTTCCACTCTCCTTATTGGTTTGAAAATTCCATTAAATATATTGCTCGAGCTCCCAGGTTAAGCTTGATTTAAATTTGCATACATTTTCATACATTTAGGAGAAATAAAAGAAGGCTGCAGCCACCAGAAAGTCATTAAAGAGCGCTGAGCCGAGGAGCATGCCAGTGGGGACAGAGACGGAGAGAGGAGGCCGGAGCAGGTGAGCTGACCGCGGGCTGCCTGTGGAGGGTGGCCGGGGCCGCTGGAGGGTGGCCGGGGCCTCGGTAACCCGGAGGAATGACAGACAGTGAGGGAAGGGTGGTGACAGGAGCCTTTAGCCTCGTGTTGTTGTAGCCTGCAGGCCTGTGTAGGTAGGAAATAATTCAACATGTAGGCTGTTTGTTTGCTGTTGTTCTTATTTTAATTCCAATGTGGCGTTGCGCGTAAATTCTTCATGTAGATTACGCTTTGAAACTTCATTAAAAGTGCATTTTTTATGGGAATGGCACGGTTGTTCGAGTGGCCTAGTTTGCTGAAACAAATTGCTTATTGGAGTCGTTATAGGATGAATTATATGCCAAAAGATAGTCGATTTTTAGCACATTAATAGTGGTATTTCCATACAATTCCTGCATTTTTATACACTGTAAATTACACATCAACCCGAATTCGTTTTAAAGGATACATTCTCTGTTTTTTTTAAATACTACAAACTCATTTTTAGTAACGTGCACAATTTCTGGTTTTAGAACTTGCTTACACGCAGAAATTTGCTAAAAAAATCTTTGTCTTTTTACAAAAATAAAGTGTGCGTTTTTGGGGGGCATAAAGCAGACAGGAGAGGGACTTGGAGAGGGGGTTGTATTGCTCTCGATAGTCTACGTTTCTAAGTGTAACAGATGCTTCTCTGGAAACGCTCCTTGTGCTGATTCCTTTTATTCACATCAACATTTTTCTGCCGTCGAGCGCGTTTCCATAGCGAGGCGAATAAAAGGCAAATCCCCGCTCCGCGCCTCCAATAAAGAGCCCATTCACAGATAACCCGGGCCAGCCCTGCTACACTTACACTGCAGCCTCTCTCTAACCGAGGAGCACATTACTGCTAAATAACACAAGCTAATGACTCATAATTTCTTTAATTTTGTCCTTATAAGATGCCAGTTTGTGGTTGTTTCTCGTGTTTATTTAGCTGCTTGCTTGGGTTTATTTGGGGGCTTCGAGTAAATCTTTAGCTGATTATCCTCTGACTTAGATTATTTACAGTGGAGTAAATAAAATATGTCTTAGGTTTAAACCGCCATTATGGGCATCTTTATGATGCAAACGACACGGAAAATTAACTTAAGAAAAGTCGATTGATGCCGTTCTCTTGAATCACTATGCACATGATTCAAAGCTTACATTTACCCAATTTAGAGATTTGGTCGAAAAAGGCACAACTCATTACATTTATGAAAAGATGAATAAAAAGAAAACGATGCATTCAGTATAATGACTTTCTGCAGGTTTGTAAAGCATTGTCATGGGCATTTAAAAAACATGAATATGTGTCAGTTACATTTGGGAAGAATTGATTTTAGATGAGCTAACTTACGTTGCAAGATCACCAGGTTACTATAGGGCAGACTGAGGACGAATCATATTCCTGGATTTGGTGTGTTTGACTTGTTTAATGTTTGTCATTTTAATAGACTCTTATGATATCTCCTATCTCGCTCTACTAAACCCATACGTTTCTCTGTATTTGTTGGCCTATAGTTAATCTTTCAAAAAATGTACATGGAGTTCATTCTTGTGGTATATTATGCCTTTAAAAGCACTACAATGTTTTTTTCGATTGTTTTTAAATGTGTTTTTCTTCTTCTTTACACATTGTTTCCTTAGCCTATTCTCTCCCCTCCCCAGTTTAAAGCAGCATGCTGCAGTCTACAGATAAATCAGCTTTAGTCTGCTATTGAGACAGCCTTGGGCCTCAGGGCGGGACCTGTCACTTGGTGTCATGACCTTTGCAAACTTTCCCCATGAAGCCTAAATCTCTGCTCCTGCTTGCGTGCCATAAATTGACTCTAGTTAGGGATATAACAACTGAAACATGCATCTGCCCTTATGTTATTGGGAAATACGTGCACTCATTACTGTGTTGAACTTCTAAACAAAATAGAAGAAGAAACACTTTATTTTCAAATGTAAAATCCTGAGTTTTTTTTTTTTAGCTAGAGACTTGATATGACTGAATCCAAAGCATTTGCTGTCACCTCAGATTTTTAACTCAGTTGTCCTGGTGCGACAAACACTTCACAGGCTCCCAGACAGGAAAATCGATATTCCCATTAACCCGTGACGTTGCTAATAAAGGACAGTGACACCGTGTTTTAACAGGACAGCCCTTCACAAGCAAACCAGAAACTAATCTCACGTCATGCCGCTGACAGGACGCTTGTTTTCCTCATGAACTTGAAACATAAAACACGTCTGTTTCTGATAGAAAAGTGCCGACACATCCACCTGTCAGTCATGTAAGCCTCACCTATGTGTATGTGTGTGTGTGTGTGTGTGTGTGTGTGTGTGTGTGTGTGTGTGTGTGTGTGTGTGTGTGTGTGTGTGTGTGTGTGTGTACATTGGACACACCGATGAGTGAATGTATATTAATCTAAAGCTCATCCCATGAGAGCACACTAGTGTAAATGTACATTCATAATGCATGAGGCCTGGTGTGTGTGTTTTAGGTGTGCACTGGTGAAAGGGGTTATGTGTGTGTAATCATTCAAAATTAGGGTTTATGCTTTTCAAAATGTCTAGTGATGCCGTCGGATTCTTATAAAACCATAATCTACATGAACAAATGAATAAGTGTGCTGTTCCGATGTTTTTGCCTATACAGAAATGTGTTTTAAACTACCAATTCTGATTGAAATTGCTCCTAGAAAAACGTCATATTGAAACATGGACGTATTTTCGATTATATAATAATAGCATGCAAAACGTGAGATAAATTCAGCAGATTTGTATCAAAATGTTGTTTTATAGCCAGCTTCTATTTCTAATTGTACAAACGATAAGCAATCTTATTTTATTCACTCATTATCACCACGAATGATAAGCAATTAATCCGGGATTAATAAAGCTTTTCCTTTGCAGATCGTCAACCAGGTGTAATGTTTTTATTTGGAGAAAAACATGATTAAATAAGCCTGAACACGATTGTAAAATAGAATATTTGACTTTTAATGAAGATTAGATTAAAACAAATGGCCAATTTGTATGCCATAAATTATCTTTAAATAGCGTCTTTCAAAATACGACACCACATTATGATAAATCTTTGTTTAGGATTAATGCAAAAACATTATACAATACATTGGTGACTTTATCAAACTCCATGTTGGCACAGCTGATCCAGACATATATCCTTTATCCGAAGAAAATTAATATAAAAATATGGAATTATGTTGAGCTGCATTTCCATTTTTTTTACCACCATAACGAGATACACTTTGACAATTTTTATAGTTGACTGTCAAAGTTCCCTACATTAAAATAATCTAATTTCCTGGAATGACTGAGAGACATGAAGTGCAACGTGAAGCTTCAATTAAATGTCTTAGGTCTGAATATTAGTATTCCAAATATGATGCAAAATCCAGCGTAAAATTATTTTTTGGTTTGTAGTTAATTAGAAAATGAATTCAGTCACAACAGGCCTGAGGTCAGAGAGACTTCAAGCTACTGAAAATGCACCCCCCCCCCCCCC